TCCCCAGTCTTCAGAGATAAATGGAGCAGATGAAATTGGGGGGGGGGGGGAGGGGGAAGGCAGTCTTTTATTCTATAGTTTAACGCTATACGTGGCCGTGAATGAATTAAATCTACATTTATCTCGGGATATTATTGATGAATCACACTTACGCACTCGTAATCTGTTTATTACAGTAACACATTGCGTGTCGATTACAATAATGTTGAAAGCAATCGCGATAACTAATTCGAGAATATCAATATTAATCTTACTATGATAATACTTTCTGATTACTAATTTACATGCAGATCTTTTCTGCTTCTTTTTCGGTCTTGATGCAGTGCTTCAGGGTGCACGAATGTCTATAGTCGGATCTGAGAAGACTGTATTTCAATCGGTTGCGCTTTTGTCCTCTCACCTTGCCTGCCAGCTGGCTTTAGCTTCCTCTTTTTCGTTCTTCCGCCTTTCGGGAGCAGGTGGAACGTCGGCGGCGTCCTAATGGACGAGCGAGTCTCTCGCGCGGACATGAAAGATTCACGAGCGGACGCACCTCGTCGTCGCAACTTTTTAATTAGACGATTTTTCCAGGGTTATAGCCGCGTGTAAGGGACACGATGCATAATTGATGCGTCGCAGCTTAATGAGCGCCGGCAAACGTTGCAAAACACGTCGTGGATTTCCCATGACGAAACGAAACGTAATCCGGTCAGATTTAGCGAGAGTACAGTATTTCGAAAGAGAGAAATAGAAAGAGATGTGCATGCATTTATGAGCACAGATAAAAATATGGCGGATATTAAAATTGATTTTTCTTCGCTCCTGCGGTGAATCCATGTAAATATTTTTTGACAAACTTGAAGTCGGAATGATAAAACCTTCTTTTGCGTCGAACGCAACACTTTAGTTCTTTCATATTTATAACTTTAATCATGCCTGTAATTGTATAATTGATTAAGAGAATCTCGAATCTTGAATCAGGCTAAAAAAGAAAGGTGGCTTTACTTCTTCCATCATTCAACGTGGATGATCAATTTTACGGTACACGCAAGTCGCTTCTTTTCTTTTGCTCCGGTTGACCAGGAGTTCACCGTATAAATTCGTCTTTAACCTTGTCGCGTTTTTTCAACCTTTTTTCCCCCTTTTTTTCCGGCGTCTAGATGCGCTGCTAGTATACTACAGACTTATCTCATCCATTACGGAACGCGCAGCCTGTCGGCCTGTAACGTTTTAGTACCTTTTAGCACGATGCTAAAAGTTTGATTCATCGCGCGCAGTCTATACAAACGAAATCGCGCCAGAGAGCTACCATTCGTACCGCTGTATATTTGGCAAATGAGCAAATGTTTACGCCCGCGTCTTGGAAACAAAGATTAAATGCTCTAGAGTTACGTCGAAGTTAACTCGACCAAATACGCTACTCAGCAATTTAATTTCTTCACATTTATCCCGAAGATACTTAATTATGCATAAGTTATAAAACTAGACCACTTTGTCATATTTCACAAGACGCATTCTGTCCTTGAGAGAGAGAATTTCTGTTATTCTGTGAAGAGCAATTTGTATATTAGAGTTATAGAAAGTACGTCTGCAAGGATAATTTATGTTCATCATATTTTGAGTAAACAAAAAAATTGCAATTACAAGATACGTCCCTGCGGAGAGGATATTATTATTATGAATATCTCGAAGAAGATTGTAGAAATATCTGCATAGTTTGCAGGCATTAATTAATTAAAGTGTTAGAGATTTACCATGACAGTATCTCGTAAATGGAAACGCGGATATTCTCCAGGGAATATCATCGATAAACGACGACGATTCCCTCGGCAGGGTGTCATCAGGAACTTAATCAAGACAATGGTCCTTTCTCGACGTTGCGCTTTATAGAGATGAATATCTCAGGACGAGAATACGTGCTCTTAAAATATACGATAACTGTCTGCATTTTCATTTTCTGTCTAATTCCTTGTCGTACTACGAATGATCAAGATTGTTCAACCGCCAAAATTTCTTCGCAGAAATGTCTTACTCGTTTATATTTTTGTCTACAGAAGCAAAGAAAATTAAGCTTATATATTTGACAAATTTTTTAATTATCAAATTGCAGAGAATTCTACTTTTCTCGACGATTATAGCAACGAACAAATAGAATTGAAGCGTATGCGTTTCTGGCTGTAATCAATTGCAGCTATAAAAGGTTTCATTTTTCTTATATTATTGGTATTATGTTTCGATTATTAATATTGTAATATTTTATGTAATATTTTAAGGAAGTAGTAGTTGCGCGTTATTGCGAAGCAATTTATGAGCAATTAGAAGCGGAGGAATGTAATATAAGTAATCATCTATAACGCAAAGCTTCTTATTATTTTTCCGACATTGAAGATCGAGAGCATCATTTGTGGATATTGAAAAGTCAGTTTTGAGGCAGCTCTTTGGAGCGCGGGCATCTCTCTGAATAATGCCCGTCATTATTTTCTTTCCTTGTATACGATCTTTCGACGTTGTATTCTCTTACAGAGAAGCGGCTGAGAAAACGGTCGATTTTGTCTCCTGTAAATTATCGCGTTAGATTTACCGTAAACGAGCTCGTGTGTAGCAAAATGAATCTGTTACTAACTTCATGACGCTTTCTTGTTTTATCAGATACTGCCACTTTGTCGAGGGAACGCGTCGCATTTCGAAGACGCAACAACGCGATAGCCGAGCCTGCACAAATGCGAAATTTATCAGATTAATTAAATTTAACAGGAAAATGTTGAAAACGACGACACGTAACTAATGTAATTAAAAACTTTCCTGACGCACCACCGACGTACGTTATTGAATAACAGCTATTCGTAACAGCTATTCTACAAAATATTTCACCGATGGGTAACAAAGTTCATTAATACCGTAAGGATTGAAAAATGAAGCTTCTAACATTTCTTGGCATCTCAATTATATTAGAGGGTTGCCGTTCCCGGCGCCCGTAGCGCAATTAAGTTTTTGGCATGCCATGAACGGCGGGAATTAGCCGAAATTTTCAAAGAGGTATCTCAGAGGCTGCTGTTACAGGATCCGTTTTCTCGACGGAAGACAGTTACCTGATGAGCTCGCTTCATGTGACTACCACATATTGTCTCGATCAAGTGATTAAGAATTTCATCTCGCGATGAAGGTCACGCGACCCCTTCGAATTCGAAACACCCTCGACATATTGGACCGAAACTCGATTTCAAAGGTTTTCTTCAGTCAATCGAAACTTTGACATCTATATCATTGCTAATTTTCGAATAAGCGTCTCGGAAGATATAAAACGCTTCGGAACTTTCGATTCTCATTTTAGATGGCTTCTTTGACCAACATGGACCTAATTTTTTTTTCGATAACAAGAATATAAGAAGTAAAACTTTGTGATCAAAGATCGGATAGACTTTTTATGTCTTCGATGTATTCGTCCAATTACTAAGATACATAATCTTAATAAAGAAATTATAATAAATCTCGCCTTTATGGCTTCGTGTAATAGGCTAATAGGCTCCTAGTTCGTCAAAGAATATGTAATGTCATTAAAATTGAAGCTTCCTCTTAAATATATATAATTTATAAAAATATATATAATTTTCACTAATGTAATATAATTTATATTATATTATCATACGCTCATATTATTTTTGTAAATGAGAAGAGGATATAACCGTATATTCTACATATATCTTTTTTTATTCACAAAAATATTATATGAATAATATGATAATATAAATTACATTTTCTACGTGATTATGTTAAGGAAACTACCATCAGACTGCAATAATTCCGTGTCCTTTTGAACTGTGCGCGTCGAAATAAATGAAAAAAAAAAAGCAAATGTAAATACGGGTACTAGGTCATACAATTAATTGTCGACGTAACACTTGGTATATTTCAGATGAAATATCGTGCGCAATATAGACATAGACAGCGGATGCAATATCGTTCGGCAAATGCGATATCGTTGTACAATTAATGATCAAATATTTGCTTACTTTGCGCGATATTAACCCCGTATCCCGGCGGAATTCTCTTTTTGATATGCGGGAAGTTAAAGTGAATTCCTTTTTCGCTTATTATGGCTAAATACGAGAGAAAGAGATTAATGAAATATGACGCACAGCCCACACGAGACGATCGGGCGTGAAATATTTTCTATAGCGTTATCATTATATTAAAATAGGGTAGACCTCTTCGAGGGTTCGTTGCAGCGACATAATTTCTAACTCTATGTGAACAATGCACATAAATCCGTATGGCAAAATACGATCAAAACATGTCTATGCATCACAACATGTTTATGTTTCAATCACTGAAAATCATGATAAGCGCACACAGAGCCGTACAATTCTTTCCAATCAACGAGATGCACTGCTAGAATTTCATCGTATGCGGATGCACGTAATAGTTTTTTTTTCCACTAGTTTGTGCTATCATAAAGAATTTACTTTATGTTTAAGATATATTTTCAAACAAAACAAATTTCTAAACCTTCAAGAGTTATAAGGAAATGGAAATATCCATAAATATAATTAGAAGATGTATCCATAATTTTAAGATGTAATCCTAATTAATACTCGCATTGCAATTCAATTAAAAATCTCCTTGAAATGGACCCTTTCGTTCGAAATTTTCCCTAAATGAAAATAAATTGACTGCTTTTACCCGCGGTTGAAAGAAACAGTTTTTTGTCTATACGCAAAACATTTAATTGTACATATCACGTAATGCCGTTGCAAGAGGCGATCTCTTCACTTCGTTTTCCCAGCCGCCACGTCCACCTATCAGTCCTGAGAAGAGCCTCATCCCTTCGTCGGCCTCCGACCACCCTCCCTCCATTCGCTCCCGTCGTGCAGCCCACGTTCAACCCCCGCGTCCGCTCTCCAGCCGTGTATACACGTAAACGCAGAGGGGATGGAAAAGCACGTCTGCGCGATGAGGAGACCGGGATAGGAGTGAGGGATCTCTTTCGCGGGGGATCCGACGTGCTTTTCCACCCTCGGCGACGACAGTCCTGCCGCACCGCCAAAACGTATCACACAATCGTGAGTAAATTTGCACACTCGCTGATCTCTCGCTCATTCTTTCGCTATCTCTCTTTCTCCGTTCCTCTTTTATCTCTCGCCGTCTCTTACGGTGGCTTTCCGGCGGCTTATATATCTCTTTATCCTCTCTCGTTTCACCTCACCGTTACCCTTTTTCTCGTTTTCTTCGTCTCTCTTCCCCTCTACCTCGCGTCTTTTACTCTTATATTCATCGTCGCGAGATTATATCTCCCGTATACCCCAGTGTCCGCGAAGGGGATCTCGTGGTACGCGCCGGCCAAGTTTTTCGCCGTTCCGTTTGGTACGCGCCGGACCGGAAAACATCCGGATGAAATGCGCTTCGTGGTCGTTTACGGTTGTCGGAATAACGGAGACGATTGTAGAAAGCGACCTTAGAGCGAGGGTAATGTGCGCGTTATAAAGCTTTTCATTTCCTTGGTCCAGATTTACCGCTGTAAATCTAACCGGAATAATCTGCGAGTTTACACTGAGTCGCGTGATATTGTGTGAAACAGTTTCACGTTATTTGCCATTGTAGAGCAGAAATGACTTTAAAGGAGAGATAACTTTAGAGAATGAGATTAGAGTAGCGAATAACGTGCGAGTCGTAAAGCTTCATTTTCTTCATTCAGGACTTGCTGCTGCTGCAGGTTTTTATCGGCGGCGAATAGTTTTCTTGATCGCTGAAGCGGTCTTACAATTGAGTGCTGTGTAAAAAGTAAAAACACCCTCGTATCATTTATATAGCATCGTATATAAGAGATGATTCTTAAGTTTCGCGTAAGTTACATTTACTCACCTTTTCTACTTAATATCATTATTATATCTCTATAAAGAATGTGTTTCAAATCAATAAAATCAATTATGAAGAATAAAGAATAAAGAAAAAACTAAATATATTTATCTCGCACCTTTTTTCTTTTACCTTGTTCGTTATAATACGTTAAATCAACTTATTCTTTTTATAAGGCTTATTAATCTTCTTACACTTCTTTCTTAAATTTCGCGAAATTAAAAATGCAATTGTTTGCTAAATTAGAAGATGCTACGCGAAATTTTGCATAATTTATTGCTTAAAAAAACAGAAACAATTTTGAAGATTTAAAGAAAGTAAATCTTCTTTCGAGTAAATCTCATTCGAAAAATATCAGTCGGGAAGTATCTTTCTAAATCACGACGATGGATGTACGTGGAGTTTGTAGATCTTAAGATGTTATTGATCGTGCCGTTATCCGGTAAGCTAAACTCACAGGCAAAGTTAGTAATAAAGTCTTCGTGGAAATATTTTCAAACTCGGATAACGTTCGTAAACTAGCTTTATATTAGAAACACAGTTATCTACATTCGACAGGTTTGCCACACGGCTCGTCTGTTCGTCGTTCCTCCAAAAATGATTTAAAAACGCAATAGAAATATTCAATTTATATTCTTGCAACACTTTACATATTTTAATTTCTAAAAATGTGCTAAAAGAAGAGAAGAAAAATATTGTATCACGAAAAATATACGCCATCAAGTCCAAAAAATATAAGTAAAGATTAAAAATTTTTTTAGCTTTCTAATTAGCTTAGTTTTGAAATTTTTATTAGATAGATAAAGATAAATAGAATATGTGAATATAAATTACGCTGATCTCAAGTATTGGAAAACTTACACAAGGAATTGCAATTTAGATAAAAAAAATAATAAAATGTATTTCAAAAAATGCATTTATCAAATTTAGCGTGAAAAAATTGAATAAAACGAGACTGAAATAATTTTCACTTCGGTATGCACATATTACGTTCCACAGGATTGTGTCACGCGAATGATTTGGTCAACTATGGTGGTCATCCAGGATTATCGTGGATATATTGTTGCGCTGTAGTGATAGTATCGCGTCGTTTATCGATAGTGAAGAAATAAGGATTTCCGATTCGGCAGGTGCGGTTACAATTGTCGGAAGTTCCGGACTATCAAGGAAACGAAGTTAAGACGAGCGTGCGATTATGTTACGCGACGATATATTGGATATCCCTTTCTTTTTCGCTGCAGAAGAAACAGCGGTTTGACCCGCCTACCACGAGTCCTACTTCCGTTAGAAAATTCATAAGATCTATCTATGTACATACACAATCTGTTAAAATTCATAAGAACATCTTCATGCATTATGTGCAAAATATTATACAGAGTGTCCCAAAACCGTCGGATGTCTGACGCATCAACTCCTTGGTTTTGCAAAAAAAGGGGATTCGATTCTTTTGAAGCAAGAATATCGAGAAAGTTATCGCTCACCACAATAGTTACCGTTTACTTTTCGAAATCTGAAATTAAAATTCTGTTAAAATAAAACATACCTAAAATGATCACTAAAAATATATAGTTTTTAATATAATTTTTATTTTAAAACTTAATCAAAGAGTTATATATTTTCAAGCTCAAAATTAAGAATTCGATATTTTCAATAATTAATAATTAATTCAAAACCTATTAAAAAACATCTGGTTTTTGGGACACCCTATAGATATAAAAATCGAAAGCTTGAACCCCCTTCATGATACGTTGTTTCCCTGAGTATGTATATCTAGATGTGAATCACACGGTAAATATCTAAGCACCAAATCTTACTTATGTATGCGGTCGTTATAGTTATCCTAAAAAAAAAGAAATATATCCTGTTTAAATATATCAAATATATATAATCTGCACATAGCCCACACGTAAAACATCTATATTATTACACATATGTAAAATATCTAAAATTTCGCAGATATATAATAATACATCTGTAACTGTAATTATGTAATTATGTAATTAACTCTCAACTATTATAGTTGGAGCAAAGTAATTACGTTTTGCGAATCAAACTGACCGTAACAAAGAAATGGCGTTGTATTTTGTGTTAATTGCTTTTAATAATTCGCCTTCATGGCGAGTAGATAAAAGTAGGTTCCACATGTGAAACGGGAGGGGAAGAAATTGGAAAAAAAACAGTAAGCAAAAAAGCTTTTAATACCGATATAAAATATCTACGTTGGGATCGGTTTCGGCATTATCATAATAATTGGAGGTTAAAACATACACGATTGACCATAGGGCGATTGCTAATTCTGAATCCACCTTCTGTAACGAACAATTGATTACACGCGTATATCAGCCCGGATAGAATATCACGGAATATTGCGGCAGGTAGCTATAATATGCGTCTGTACACAAAATACACGATATGGATTACCGATAATAATTGTTCGGCGAAAATTCATTGACGCAGGGGAGCTTTATGCGAGGGTTAAGCTAATAATACGACGTACTAACGCACTCTCACTAGGATTTTACAAAAGATCATTCAAGTGTCCTTGTCCATTATTTCGATGAACTTTAGCGCCTCATTGCAAAATCATGAACTGCTGCGTTTCAAACTGCTATTTGGAGATTTAATAATTAATCGCTTGATCAATATTTGTTTTAATTTCATATTAAAATTGCGTATTATTGCCTTTAATGTTAATGATTAATTTTTAACTACTATATCGTAACGATTGATCAATTTGCCGTATAAGTGCCTCAATAAATATACATGATATAATTTATCTTAACAGAAGTTGAGGAATCAACGATCATCCATTTTATTTTTCTTTATTTTTTTTAAATTTACTGCAACAATGGATAAAAAATATTTCGCGCAAAAATATTAGAAAATAAAAAAAAAACAAGTAAATTTTATTCTATATTTCGTTTATCACATAAATATTTCTCTTGCTTCATCGCAACAGTTGAAAATTAATAGAAATATTTTTATATCAAAAAGTTTTAATGATGTTATCTTTGAAAATAACACGATGTGACTTTAAAATTAGGCGTTTCGTTACTGACAATTAGCGGAATTAGAACCAACATAATCGTGATTCGACGACGAAATCGAACCGTAAATTTTTACGTATCGTTGTATCGCAGAGAGAGAGAGAGAGAGAGAGAGAGAGAGAGAGAGAGAGAGAGAGTGTGTGTGTGTGTGTGTGTCGGGTAAAACCGTAAACAAGATCAAAATGTTGCGCCGGATGGACTTTATATCCTCAAAATGGATGAAACAGTGACTCTGTCCATTCGCTCGCGATCCGTTCGGCTTATCGCTATTTTGATCCGCGTCTATCTGCCTCCAATGCAAGTCGTGCATTTCCGCCGATGGCGCAATCACTATAACTCGTACACGGGCTATTTTTAAAGGTCGGTCATTTATATTGTTCGAGACAATACGGATAATAAAAGACGCTGCTGTTGTTATTGCTACTGACGACGATGACCACGACGAGGACGACGACAATAATGACGACGTACGCGGCAATATGGTGTATATAGCGGATCAGTATCGCAATAACCTGCCAATATTGACTCGATATTTTCGTGATGCATCGCTGGCTCTCCATATCAATACGCAAAATCGCGGACAAATATTGGCTGGAAAATTTTATGTCGTCACAGTCGGTTGGATGACTTTATTGATAGATGAGCAGTTGGGTAAATAAGGATAACGTAATGTCTCTCGGAAGCATCTCCTCTTCGAATTCCTCCCCTCCAAACAAGCGATCATGGAGCACCGAGAACGATGTAGCTTATTTTGACGATATAAAACGGTCATCTATTGAAAATATTTTTACGATAGAATTTCTTCATGGAATCTTACATATCGCTTTCAAGATAAATAATTCATATTAAGAGCCGAAACGAAAACTTGGAACATAAAATTGGAGAACTCTGTAAAAGATATGTTTCTGCGCTCAAAATTTATCATCTTCCCAGCGCGTTGTTTGAGGTTTCGAGGAGCTACTTGATCGCTCTTGTCAGTCATTCTCCATTGCGGAAAAGAGTAGATGAGGTTTGTTCTCTGAACAGCGAAAAGGAGGGAAAAGTGCAATTTATGACGCCCCTTTATCGCTCTTCTCCACTACCCTTCATCATTTCTCGTTGGAGTGCTCACGCGAGTGCTTATAGATAGTATCGAAGTGTAGATGGCATCGAAGTGTGCC